TTATCAAAATAAAATAGATAAATGTCAAACCTTCCTATGTGCAGTACTTATGTTAAACACTTTTAAAACATATGACTCATGCTTGTTTGAAATTATGTTAAACATTGTTTGAGATCCATATTTTGAGAAACTGTAACTAGTCAAGTGTGTTGTAAGCACTAGTCATAAATGAATATTACTTTTTTATTACTTTACACTGCATACTACTTGTAACTTTAATATTAAAATCAATTAGAAAGCCTACAGAATCAGTTAGGTTATAATCCAATGATTTCAAAGCTTATGTCTGTATTTTTAGTAATGTGATTGATATGGAAATTAAACAGTTAGAGACAAACATTTCCAATTTTGTAATTTAAGCTAAATATTTATAATTATATTTAGGAAAAACAAGTTACACTTAAATTCATATTTTTGAATTTGTAAACAGGACTCCTGTTTTCAATTTTTAAAAGTCACTTATACTGTCATAGCACTTGCATGTTCAATTATTTTTCACATCAACAATAAGAAAACATCTTTCTCGTGATGAGTATTATAACTTTCAAACAGTGAAAAAGTGAATTGCAGGGTTTTAACCCTTTCGAGACAGTTCATTGGTGAAAGGCTATGTCATCTCGTTTGTTGACTCGCATTCAAAATTTTATTGAACTAATATTTCATGAATTTAAGTCAGTATGTTTGGTATCAAACTGTAGATTATAATTCAAATTTTAGTACTGTATATTACTCAATTTCTTAATTTAAAGCAAATAGTAAAAGAACATGGATAAATATCAATTTTTGTGAGTCACGTGGTATGTTGAATGCAGCACTGGTTCAGATTAGATGTTTGTGAAATCAAAATGCAAAGTCTATAGTTTTGTTTGAATTAGAAACTCAAATTACTGATATTGATAAGCTAGAATATAAAATAAGACCCTCTTATATTTTCAATTTGCTAAGATATTGCTCATGTAATAAATCAAACAGTGGCACCCCATCCACCTCTTTCCACTTTTTTGGAAATGCTCCATTATATACACTCACTTCTATATATGACATGAATAACCAATCGGAAGCTCAGAATGTCCGCCAAGTGGCTTTCTCAGCCATTTTAATGGGGTTGGCACCATTTCTTTCTTTTGAACCAATATTTGAACGAGGTAGGGTGTGTCTTTAATCTGCTCGAAATTTCAAATTTTTTTTTACTAAAATACGTATTAGTTACTAAGCTTGATAAATTATAGTGGAATTCTGTGGTATTAATGTAGTAGTTTATGATTTTTGAGTTATTGAAATGTATATATATAAAACCTAAAAAAATATTTTGTTTCATATCCTACATGTGCAAATTTTTTAAAGGCTTAGCAACCTATGCCAAGCAGCAACCAAATATTGTTTCTTTATTTACTGCTCTATATTATAAGAAAAATAAGTTTAAGAACTTATTTCAAAATAGCAATAATCTATATACATATATAATGTATAATAATTGAAATGTGACTGTATTTTACAAAATACTAGTCTACTAAAACAAAGCCAAGACAGGTTATTTGTACAGACCAAAGGTCAGTTTCATGTTATTTGGTACAATGAGTGCATGTGTGCCGTGTCATTGTAACTTCTGTATTGTTAGCCAGGCATGGCTGAAAGGTCAATATAATAAAAATAATAAATATATATAAATATATAATGTTATGAGATTTAAGCTATTTGTGTTCATTCTAGAATGAAAGAGGCATAATTTATATTTATTTTGGTTGTGAGATTGGTCAAGTCTACCAAACCCGTACAGAGATTAATTACTGAAAATAACAGATAAAATATAAAGTTTTTTCTTAAGGAACATTTGATAACTATCCAGACATTATAAGGATTTCGCATATGAAATTTCAAAATTTTCTGATGCATAAAAGTATTTGTAACCTTAAAATGAATATTACTTTGCATGATAGATAGGCAATATATGAAAAGAAAAAAAAAAACATGAGAAACATTGTTTTACAAACCTTAAGACTTGATAAAAATTTGATATTTTGCATATGAAAGGATTGTAATGTTTACTTATAATCTTCCAAATTTTGTTATCATTTGCTTACTAATTTAAAAGTTATAGTATGAAAACTATAACAAGCACAAAATGGTTATGAGGATTTTTTTATCATGGTATACAAATAGTTGGCATCAAAATGTAGCTAATAATCCAATTTTTAATATTATACTAGTTTTAAGGTTTTACTTTTATAAGGCAATATTATAAAAAATTGTTCAATTCCCCTAGTGTGAGAATTGTTATATGTGCTCTCTAGCTATTTCCTCTAATTTATTTACCCCCCTCTGAGAAATAAGAAATTTACTGTAAATTACTCATTATGATATTGTTATTACTCAGGTAAAGCATAATTTTTATAACCTTCAATCTCATTTGGTTACAGAGCCTTAAACTAGAAAATCAGACCTCTCTTGATTTGTCCACCTGTCACATCCTCTCTTTCACAAATTGTCAGTTGTCTTCTCTGATGTTATATGATGTTGGTTTTTGTACAGACAGTTGTCTATCTTGTTTCCAGTTCAAATTTTATTCCCACAGAAAACACATTGAAAAGCTTAGCTGAATTGTTAACAGCTCTTGTTGCATAGTTAGAAGGCCAGAAAAATTGTGGTAGTTGTGGGACATTGTCTGCTTTTTGCATGTTATTATTCTGTGTTCTTTGGTTCATTACTTAATTAAATTAAAAATTGTTATGCTTGCTAACAACTCGAAAGTAGCCCCTGCATTACATAATTTGATAGATAATGTGAGTTACACGTTCACCAAGTGATGTACAACTTGTGTGGTTGGATTATTAATTACTCGTGATTCAAAGGGCAGTAAAACAAAATTTAAATAGAAACATATGTATACTGTTATGAGTTTAAAGCTATTTAGGATAAATAAATGTAGCTTTATGTTACAATTTGAAGTCATTCTAGAAAGCAAAAAAGGGTAATTTAGATTTATTTTGTATTTTTATTCTGGTTATGAGGTCATTCAAATTGAGCAGTCTTGTATAGAGTTAGGGTAGAAAAAATAATGGGTAAAATATAATTTTACTGAAAAAACATTTGAAATTTATTTAAGTTTTAAAGATTACATAAATGAAATTTGACAATTTTCAGATGAAGAAAAGCATTTTTAATTTTAACATGAAAATCACTTTGGACTTGGAACAGTGAACACTTTCACACCTTAATACCACCACTAAATCCCAACCACCCAAGTTTATTAGAGTGGATGTAACTTTGTACAGAGGCATATTATACATATTTTCTCTCACTTTTATATAGTACTTTAGACAATTCTTGTTGCAACTACTATACTGTGTAAACAAACTGATAAATCCTACCCCACTGTGTTTTCAAAGCAGGGAAACTTCTGGGAATTGAGCTGTAAAAGCTTATTTGATATTAATGGTGTCAAAGTACTTAGTGATTCATTGTTTTATATTCAGCAGGTTTCTTCTTCAGCTTCTAACAGTAGAATAAATATAGGAAATGGGAGTAAAACGATTAAAGAAACTGAGATTTACTTTGAAACCTCATTGTCCATACTGAAAAAGACAGACAGCACAATTAATTTTGTTTTTTTTAGTTTCTAACCCATCTGCTAGCAATAAAATAACTACAGAAAATAAGTGTGAAAAGGTGATAAGTATAAACTCTGACCATAAGTACTTTGAAATTTTGTGATGAATACTATACATTTTATTTTGCACTTGCAACCTTTATTTTTGTTATACTTTGATTACATACCTACAACTTGGAGAATCAAGTATAATGTTACATTAAAGAAAATAACAGGTAAAATATAAAGCTTTACTGAAAATAAAAATGTTTGATATTTAATTGCAAGGTTTTTAATTTTCATTTGTTTTCACTATTTATTATTATAAAAGTAACTAAAATGTAAAAAATAGAAACTTATTAGGAAAGGTAATGAAAGAAAAATCAGAAAAATCTTGCACATTACACTATTTGATGCAGTAGCGTGAGCTGCACGTGCACCATATGATTTTCAACTTGGGTCGAGGTATTCTTAGTTGGACACGGTTAAAGGTCAATAAAACAAATATTAATAAACATAAATAGATGTATACTGTTATGAGATTTAAGCTATTTAGAATAAACATTTGTAGTTTCTTCTTACAATTTGCAGTTATTCTAGAACAAAAAAAATAATTTAGATTTATCCTAATTTTTATGATGGTTATGAGGTCGGTCAAATCAACGAACACTGTATAGAGCTAACACTGATAAAATAACAGATTAAATATAAAGTTTTATTAAAAAAAAGTTTGAAGATTAACTAGAAGGATATAGAGATTATGCAAATGAAATTTGACAAATTTCAAATAAACAAGCATTTTTAATCTTAAAATCAAAATTTCTTTGCACTTTGGATAGTCACAAGCAAATCTTTAATAAAAAAAATCTTAATACTTAATTTAAAAACCTGAGATTCTGCGTATGAAAGCCTTGTAATTATTTACTAATAATCTGCAAAATTTTGTAAAGCATACACTATCAAAAATTATAGTACAATTATTCTCATAGATATTTTCTTGGTTATGAGATAGGTGGATGCCACCCAGCCCATGTTTGTAGGGTTAAGTGACTTTGTGTTTAAACTGAACTGAAAGAAAGTATAGAAATTTCTAAACATTTCCATATTAGCTGCAGGAGATAGCTAACATATGGTACAGTTATGTACCATAAATATGTTATTGTTCACTTTATTGTTTAGGAGACTGCTAAATCACAGGAAAAATAATAATATGCAAAATTTCATAACAGGTTACATGGGAGTATAAACTAGTAGAAATTTGTGTGATAGTAAATAAGAAAAAAAAATATAATTACTAATTGCATAAGCTCAACTGGATTTTTTACATGTCAATGCTTATTGTATCTTCATTGAGGATTTTTTGATGATGTTACTTTGTCTTCAAAAAAGTATAAGTATGATTTTCTTTGAACAGAAATATTCCAGTCACTAATTATGGTAGGATCTCATATCTAAGCACATCACAAACGAAAAATTGTACAGGTGAAAGTTTACAAAGGAAACACAAAAGATACGCTAGTACAGAAGAAAAAAACTGAAGTCATGGATGAAGGTAAAGTTAACTTCTATTAAAAATAAATATTACTATATAATTCAATATCAAATTTTAACTTTTGTTTTAAAATAAGTGTTGCATTTGTACTTTGAATGTTATTGACCTTAAAGTTATGACTTGTTTATGTGACATTCACTATTGGTATGGTCTAAATACTCTGTCAGTTTTGGTAATATTATGCTTTGACTGTTTTAACTCTCATTGAAAAGAATTGATCAAAAATATTGGATCAAATCACTCATTTTCTGTGTAAAATATGCAAGGGCCCCAAGAGTAATGATTGATTAATTTCAATATTGATGGTATTTGTAAGATTTTTGCATGTGACATATACAGTATGTTATAGGAATTTGGGGCATAAATAGTTTAGAAAAATTTCTGGAATAACTGATAAGGTCTGTATGAACTGTGTCAGTAATTCTAGTTAAAAAAAGTGTTCCACATGTAAATGTAAACTATAATACAATTTTTTTAGTTACGTATTCTGTAACTTGTTCTAGTGGTTGAGTATTGTTATTAGTGATTTAAAAGAATAAGGTAATATTGTGTGAGTATTCAAGAAAGATGGCAAACAACTTCAGAGAAATTTTTGTTTTATCTGATGTTTTAGCTTATGCCTTTTTTTTCTGTTTAAGGATCTTTGAGTATTACAGGTTACAAAACTATTTTCAGATGATAGTAAACAAAAGGAACATAAGATTACAACAATAAAATGGTGCATCTTGAGATGTGCATAAGTTATTGAAACAAGTTGCTGATCACGATAATGAATGTAAATGAATAAAATGAAATAAAGTAAATTGTACGTAGAATAATAATAATAATTCCAAAGCATACATACCTCCACTCCCACTTACAGCTATTACTTGACCACCAGGGTTTCTTCCTTTTCCCATCTAAGCATTGGTCAGATTTTTTCTCCCTTGCTCCAGTCTTGTAGCTACTCAATTGTTCTTGGCGATAATTATCTCATGATATTCTCCACCAACATCAATGCGCTCTCTATCTTGGTACTGTATATAAGCACCTCATTCAGATAATGTTATCACTTTTTTCTTGACAAAGCATCACTAACGAGTTTCCCAGTATTACGTTATTGTGTTATCTAGTTGAGTTTTGTAATAATAATAGTAATTAAAAAAAAATTATTCCGATTGTTAAGACAACTTACAATATAAATTCCCTGATTATTATTTTGGCATGGAGGCAAATTGGGTCTCTCCTATCCCACCTTTAATATCTAGCCTCACACAACAATTGGGGGGGATTCATTGAGACTGTCAGTGATCTTATTTGTAGTGAGATGAAGACATATATTTGGATCTGTGGTGGTCCTCCCTGGGATTCTGAAGCTGCAATTGAGGGTGATCCTTGAAATTTTGGAAAGTCTTTAGATTTGATTTTTTCTGTGCCTTCTTTTAGTCATTTGGGTTTTCAGTCGCCCTGTAGGACAGTGGTAAGTTTATGGATTTGCAATGCTGGGGTCTGGGGTTCGATTCTTTAGGATGGATGCAGCAGATGGCCCAGGGTTGCTTTGCTCTAACAAAACAACTTTACCTCATAAAATGCTGTTCCAATCAAAGGTAATCAACTCAGTCTTTAAATGACCTATGAAAAATGAAAAGGAGGCCACTTTGGGATAAGCTGCCTTTGATTTGTTTTTCTTCTGTTGGTTCTTCGAGTGTGTGATATTTTGGTTTTTTTTCCTGGTCTAGGATTGATTTTTTTAGTTTTTCTCCATACAGTATATTCTGGTTTATGTGGGAAGATTTACTTCTCAGTTACGTGAAGTGATAGTTAGGCCTTATCTGACATGTCGTAAGAACTTCATGATTTAGCCTACCATTGCCAGGTGGAAGCATTTTCTGACTCTCAACTAATGCATCTGCTTCTTGAATTCTGGTTTTCTAAGGTGGAGTATATAGTTCACTTGAATAGCTCAATGTTCCCTGATAAGACAGAGTACGTCTACGGACTTACAACTCTGAAATTCAACATTTTGTTTTCCTTTCACTTCACTTTGTTGGAAGACTCTCAGGATCACCAACTTCATTGATGATGAGCTGGATCCATTGTTAGTATGTGTGTTGGTTAATTTTTTGGCTTTTACATTCCTCCCTGTTGTCAATCGAGTCTCAAATTACATTGGCTACTACAGGAGGTCATAGTTCTCCCCCCTATTTGTGGGTCTCGACCCCTGACATCAGCCCCTTTGTTAATACCCAGAATAGATTCTGTCTATATCCAAGGTTTCTGCTGCTCAGTTATATGGCCAGTGGTGTCAGTGATTATTGTATACCTTCAGGAGCTGTAGGGGCTTGGTTTCAAGAATTTCTGGACGTGTGGTAATCTTAATCATGGGTCAAGGAGCACTGCAGGTCCTTGAGTCACAATTAGTCATTCAGTTCACATCTTCACCACCACTATCCACCCAACCTGTAGGGTATCCAACTTCTGCAGTTCATTGGGATTTGGAACTTAGTTCTGTGGGTTTCTGAGTTTGGTTGGTTTGGTGTTAGTGAGAAAGTCATGCTAGTTCTTCAGAATTTTTATTGCTGTCAGTTGTTGGGCTTATGCAGACAGGAGATTGGTGTCCAGTCATTGATTTTTGTTATCTATATCAATGCCTATATTCTCCAAGGTTCACAAGCTACTCATTCCTCAGTCTGTGTTTATTTTTTTGGTGGGATTATGGATGTCCAAAATGGTCATAGTTTTGAATTTTGGATTTCCTCCTCAGGACCATTCCTATCTTATCACCCTTCTAGCTTGCCATGTTCCACAGGTGATGCCTGTGGTAGCAGATCAATTGTCCCAATCCAAACAGAGTCTCCCGACAGAGTCGATGTTACATTGCAAGGTTCTATTGGATTAGCTCTCATTTTGCAACTCTAATTGGTGGGTTGGCCTCTTCAGTAACTCATATTTGGGCTTTGTCAATAGATGCATTCTGTTATGACAGGACGGGATTACAATTCTAAGCCTTCTCTCCACTTCATATGTTATCCAGGGTACTAAATATGATTTGTTTCAACACATTGTCAGGTCCTGTTGATAGCACCAAATTGGCTGTTACACCTGAATTTTTGCTTTTGCGGTCCCTTACGGTGTGTCAAATCTTTCACTTCTTTTTAGGCTCTCTCTGCAAAGGTAGCCATATTTTGATAAGGTACATCTGGCAATTCAGAAGCTCAAGTTTCTGGCATAGCAGTTATGCTGTCTTTCACACATCATTGGGGTTTAATTTCTAAGGTTGCTGTGTATCTATCTCAGTTTTCACTTAGTTCAAAAGGCACACTTATCAATGGTAAAGACATGCATATTGGCAGTTGTGTATTGAGAGGAGGTTGAACCCATTTCAATCAGTAGTGTCAACCATGACTCGTTTTTTGACCTGGCTCTATGGTAGAGGTTTTTGCATCTTCCACATTTGCCTTGTTTACGGCGGCTTTATTGACTAGTGTTTGATTATCGCCACCACATATTTTTTTTTTTAGTCCTCAGTAATCTCCAGATTTCTTAAGTCACTTTGGGTACTTGGTCCCAAATGACTATATCAGTTATCTACCAGGTATATTAAGGTTACATTACTTGTTCCTTTTCAATAACTGTTTTGTGACATGACTCTTATATGCCATGTATCCCCTTTACCTTCTTATCCAACATATTGTCAGACAGGTCAAGGATTCAACCCTTTTCTCCAATTCATATGATCACTATTCTTCTCTTCTATGTCCAATCAGATTTTGATCTTGGTCATGTTCAGTGAGGGTATTGAAGGTTTTGTTGCCTGCACTAATACCTTTAGAGATACTAGATAATGATTTTTATTCTGAGCTCTCTTTTAAGGCGAGGAATCTTCTGCGAGTCAAATCTAAGATTTGCCACTTTTCTATGTCTATATCAGGGTTGGTTTGCTTTTAACTATATAGGGAACGTGGTTCACCTATTCCACTATTTCCAGAGCTCTGTTCCTTAGTGCTCCCCAATGTGCATTGCCCTCCCAGATTCTACTAGTGGAGCTAGGGAGTCCTTACTGCACCTAGTTTCCAGTTACTGGGGTGATGGGATGAGACTTTTCCTTCAGAGTGCTAGGGTGAATTCCTCCACTCTCGGAGAAGAGGGCAAAGATGCGGGCCCTCCTACTTGGGTCCCTGGATGTTTTTTCCCCAAATGTTGGTAAGAACAGCATCAGCAGGAGCCTACTCATAATACCGATTCAGATTTGATGCTCGGCTATTCGGTTGAGGTATGCATGGCCCCTCTTTTTGATCAATATTGGTTCAGTACATTGTTCATGGAAGGGGTCCACTATCTCCTCATACTTCCGAACGTAGAGAGTGATCCCATCCTGGGTCTTTGGTTGAGCACAGTTTTCCACATCCTCCCAATAATTCTGGAATGCTCCTTGCCCAATCTGTTGGTGAGTGAGGATGAATGTTCATAATCCCAGACCAGATGAGTTCTGTTCCTTTGGCTGAATACGGCATACACGGTCCTGTCATTTGAAGCCTGGGGTGTTGCCTTTGGGGATTCTTCAGGTGGAGGAGAAGGTTTGTCTGTTTCAGTGTTGCTTACTTTCTTGTCTGGATTCTGGTGGCTTGAAACGCATCACTCTAAGGCTACAGGTTGGGATCCACTTGTAAGTATATATAATATAATGTTGCAGTCCAATTGCCCTAGCCACCAAAGTGGGATATAAGGACCAAGACCCCTTAATTCCAACCCTGCGTAGTGAAACCTTGGCTGTCTGGTTGGGGCTGGCCTATATTGATGATAACTCGTACTATTCCACCCATGATAGAGGAATTCAGTTCTGGCTGAAGAGCATACATGTTGTAGATGTAGTGTGGCTCCCTCACTAGGGTTCCAATCTTCTATTGGCACACCCATGATCTATGCAGATGCTTTCTGTATGGACAATGCTCTCACTGGCCCCTCCACCTTGTTAGATTCTAGCTAAAAGTGGGAGTGGAGGTATGTATGTTTTGGAAGTT